CACGCCTTCTTTTCCAGACAGATCTGGAGATGTTCGTGAAAGAACCAAGACCAAAACAAGCGAAGTCGAAACATCAGAATGCGTCGCGGTCAGTAAGGCAGTGGAAGGGTTAGCGGCAGGATTGTGCGATGAATGTTCGGATTTGTCATGCTATTGCCTCAAACAGGCGGAGGAAGAAGCGACCACAGCTCTGACGGAGGCGTGGATGACGTGTATTTTAGAAGGCTGTCCAGGTCCAGGGGAGAGAAGAAGATGCCGCAGCTAGTTCAAAGAGTCTTGTGTCCGGCAACTTCCAGCTTGTCCCTGTGCTTAGCTGCTGTCTGCTCGTTGCACGCAGGGGGAGGCTGCTTTGGAGAAGACCGGTGCAGAGGCGGTGTGCTGCGTGCAAGCATTGCAAGCACTGCAAGATGCTTGCGGTTGCAAAGTTGCGGAGGATCAAGCAGATATGGATCCCGTTACATCCCGTGTTGTACAGTGGCACAATAGTTTTCGCCCCTGCGCGGCACAGGAGCCGGCAGTGCTGAAGAAAGCCGAAGCGGAGGAGGACGCTGGACAGCTTGAGGTTAGCTGAGTTAGCTGCTGCGATTAGCGCTTCGTCCGACAGCTCGTCTTGTGCTTACCATGCTCATCCATCAGCTGCAGCCGTGATCAGCCGTGGTACATCGACTCAATGCTGAATGCTCATGTGCAGGAAATGGAACGGTTCGAGGAAGAGGAGCAGCCCCAAGAGGTGCACCGCCACATCGTGCTAGTGGATGCCCCTGCACGTTTCACGTTGAGCTGCCAAGTGGTCACTCCGTGTTGAAACGCAGGAGGAGGAGGTGACTGAGAAGGTCCCGGCAAAGGAAGAGGCAGTCGTGGGCACTACTTGCAGCTTACTAGCCGTATCTAGTCGCCATGCAAAGCACGCCTTCTTTTTCAGACAGATCTGGAGATGTTCGTAAAAGAACCAAGACCAAAACAAGCCAAATCGAAACATCCGAATGCGTCGCGGTCGGTAAGACAGTGGAAGGGTTAGCGGCAGGATTGTGCGATGAATGTTCGGATTTGTCATGCTATTGCCTCAAACAGGCGGAGGAAGAAGCGACCACAGCTCTGACAGAGGCGTGGATGACGTGTATTTTAGGAGGCTGTCCAGGTCCATGGGAGAGAAGAAGATGCCGTAGCTAGTTCAAAGAGTCTTGCGAGCAGCTTTTCCCTTCTGCGTCTTGAAGGAAGAAGAGTTTGCGATATCCACCTGGTTCTAGTCCCTTTCCAACTCAGAACACCTGCACAGACTTCAGGTTCGGAAGGAAGGAAAGGCTCGCGCAACAACCGAAAACGAGCGAATTCGAATTAATTAGAAACAGTGCGTCGAGGTGAGTAGGGTTCTGGAATTCTGGAAGGATTGGCGGCAGTGTTGCGCGATGTTCGGCATTTCTTTGCATCCTAACGAATGGCAGAAGAAGGCCAAGGAGAACCTGATACTGATAGAGATGCCGATGACGTATACTTTATAGGAGGCTGTGCGGATCAGATGGTCGGAAAGACAAGAAAGCCACTTGCAGGAAAGTGCGCATGTGAATGAGGAGAGGCGGAGACAAGAGGTGCGACAGCAGACATCAGAAGGGAGCTTGCTGATTGTTGGGGACAAGCCGTTCTGCGGCAGGACGAGGAGCAGGCTGTTGAGAAGGCCCGCGCAGAAGAGGAGCGCGCTGGCGGAATGCTGCCATGCGAACCTAAAATTACTGTAGTCTTATGCGAGATGATGACGTGGATGTGGCCACCATAGTATGGGTGCCGAGAGCACGTCATGTCACTGCCAGCATGGTCGCAGCTGAAGTTCTCGTGCGCATTGGTTGCTGACACTGTCAGGATAATTAGGTTGGTTGCATTAGTCTCGATACCGTTTAGATGCATTGCTTGCAGAGATCATGGCATGTAGAAGCGGAGTGTTGTCCCGTGTGTGGGCTGCTGCATGTTCTGGCTAACTTCCTCGGAGACGATGCGAAGCAACGGCACATCATATCGTACCTGCGGGCATGCAGGAGCGACCACGATTGGAGGAAAGGTTTCAAGAGGTGCGCCGCGGACATGCTCAGCAGTGGGTCCGCTCTGCCTCCAGATGGGAGCAGGAAGAGGCGGCTCTTTCGAATGGCCGCGCAGAACAAGAGGCTCGCGGGAAGCAAGTTGAGAATACTGGCCTTTGCTCCGCAGGCTTGTCTTGCTGTGTTGAACCGGAAACCTACCGAGAAGGTTAGGGAACTCCTAGAATCGAGTTGTGGACATGTTTGGATGCTGCATGGAACAAGCAAATCAACAACACCTCGTGCAGGAAAGTGAGCACATGGAGGAGGAGAGGCAGAAACAAGAGGTACGAGAGCGAGAGCAGAGATAAGGGCACTTGTTGATGAATGATTTTGCTGCGGCAGGAGGAGCAGGCTGTCAAAGAGGCCCGCACAGAAGAGGAGGCGGCGTACCGCTCTGGAATGAAGCAAGTCCCGATGTTGGCAGAGAGCGAGCAGCATTCCAAACCACATAGTTTCTGCTGATGGATGAAGAGGCACTCGGTCTGCGTTAGTTCGACATGCGTCAGCTTCGCCGCAGCAAAGACTTTAGCTTGGATTCTGCGTGTCGTAGTCTCTCTGAACAGGAGAGGGCACGATTCGAAGAAGAGAGGCTGCGACGAGAGGCAAGCGTGAGATGCAGAATCAGGGTTTTGCAACGCCCGGCCAGATGATCAGGCAGGGTGTGACATTTGCCGTGTCTGTGCGTTTCTGCAGGAAGAGGCAGCGCTCGAGAGGGCCTGCGCAGAGGAAGAGGCACTTGTGCTGCACAGGGTTGCAGGCTAAGTTGTTATGTCGTAGCCTGATAGCCTGACATGAGGCCGGACATGATGTATCTTGGGCACTCAGAATGTGGAAGTGACGAGCGTTGTCTGTTTAAGATCCAGGTAGCCTCGTGATGGAGTAACATATGTATTCACTGTGTATAAATAAATAAAATATATATATATATATAATATACATATAGTCTCTGATTATGCGGCGCTACGTCTCAGCGCCCGAGTCCACACAAAAGGAGTTGGGCAAGTTGAGATTACTCGACCGTTCTATACGGTTGCAGAGTGCAGTTTTGAATTAGGCTGCCTGTTCTTTGAACTATTCCCCGGCCTGCTTGATATGATATCATTGCCAAATGCAGGCAGCAGAAGAACTGCGCAGACAAGAGGTGGGCAGCATGTCCAATGAAGATGATGGCAACCGCCGCATACTGTACCACGCGTTCCGTAATGGGTTGCCGTGTTGACATCTGCCTGGCAGTTGCAACTTGGATTCTGCATGGCGTCTGGAGTGTTGTTGACCTACCCGAATCTTGCGGAGAGTATGTGTGGACAGGAGAAGGCAACATTAGAAGAAGAAAGGCTACGACAGGAGGCAAGCGTGATGGATTGTACAACACCGGGCTGGATGATCGCGCAGGGTGTCACATTTGTCGTGTCTGTTCTTTTTGGCAGGAAGAGGCACCGCTCGAGAGGGCCCGTGCGGAGGAAGAGGCACTTGTGCTGCACAGGGCTGCAAGCCAAGTTGTCATGTCGTAGCCTGACATGAGGCCGGACGTGATGTAGTACCTTGGGCAATCAGACTGTGGATGTGGGGAGCATTGTTGTTTGCGGACCTGGCACGAGATCG